GGGGCCCTGCAAGCACCCCGGGGCGGGGAGGACTTGCCCTGCTCAGCAGGCTCCACCAGTGTCTTTGCTTCCTCTCCTCTAAAGCTCTTGTCTCTCTTTTATTTATTATTATTATTATTATTATTATTTTTAAACACAGCTGAGTGCTACTGGGCTATCATCTCGGCACGTACTCTCTGGGCAGCCCTGTGAAGTTTCTTCTTCTCAGGGCCTCGTCCACAGTCAGGATGTATCTGTTGATCAGATCTTTCATCTCCTGGGTAAATGGCTCAAAATCCTTTTGCTTAGCGCCTGACCGCTTGAAATTCCCATCCCTGTTGTTTTCCACACAGAGCAGCCGATCCTCTGTCACAGTCATATTTAGAAATTCCACCATTTCCTTCAGCTTGGGGATAAGGCTCTGTTTTAGGTCCTCATAGTGGATGACAAGCAGGCGTTTTCCATATTTCAGCCAGTCCAGGACGTGGGATGCCCACCACGAGGCATAACTGTTCACAAAATCGGGCCATTCTAGCAGGAAAAACAGGAAAATGAGACTTTAGTCATGCTGTGTTTTAACAATTTCCCAAATGTTATGGTGGTGCAATAAGATAACGCTCTAATGCTGGTTTGAGAAGTGCTTTGCTATGTAACTGGACTCTTTCACTTCTGTGCTTTTCATACCTTTTAATCTCCGTTTTAAATTTAGTCTGAGAAAACAGGCAGGGCTATTACTTGCTATACGTGTGTGTATGGAGCATCTGGCATGATACCCTGCTCCTGGCTGGGGCCGCGGGTGCTCCTGACTTCCAGATCTGAAGAACAGCACATCTTCCACGTTCTCACCACCCTGCTTTTGGGGAGACTCGGTAGGGAAATAGGATTAGCAAGGACTGGCACATGAGAGGGATTTGGGATCACCTGCCAGGATCACCAGGACATTATTTTCAGAATCAATTTCCCACCTTTGCCTTGGGCATTAGCGACACCTCCGTCTCTTCTGTTGGCTGCTTCTGACCCTCAATTTAATTTTCTGATGGTTGAGATAGTCCCAGCTGAAGATTTTGGGCTGGACAGAGAGCACTTATGGGTGAAATATAACAATTTGCAGTTCAGGGAAGCTCTTCCCTCTAGGCTTTATTTCCTCTTTTGAAAAGGATGTTTTGTTTGGTGTTAATGAACCGATCTTGGGTTGTGGGTGATGAAAGGTGATGTATGAACTTGGGAAAGAAATATGCTGTCACAGAAGACCTCCCTCCCCACCAAGCCAATGTGGTCTGTCAAGTGCAGCTGTACTGATGCGCAAGAACTCCTTCACTGCTGCACAGTCCAAATGCAGCAGTGTATTAAATGGGGAAAATACAGTTATGCCATCTAGCTTGCCAGGCAAACGCATTAAAAAAAAAAAAAAAGCGTGGCAGCCATACATATTCTGAAGTCTTTTCACGTGCTCAAGGAGCACTGAATGTAGAGTCCTCTTATCAATACTATCTTTTTACTATTCTTACTCATCTGTACTAAACAGCACCTTTGCAGCACTGTAAAACTTCCTTCAGGAAAAGTCATGTTCCCTCAAATCCTTGAAGTCTTAAATTAGATTCCTCTCACTTATTTCCTGCTGCAGGGGCAAATTTTCTTTACCATGCAGCCTGAGTAAACGGGCTGCAGACAGGCGTGTTCTACCTGGACACGTTTTCTCTGCCAAACAGCAAAATGGCAGCAATATTACTGTGTGGCTGTGGCTTCAGTGTTAGTGCTGGGTTACCTCCTCTCTGTGATGGTGGATTGGTGCGGGATTGCAGCGGTTTCCCAAGTACAGATCTGAGTCCTTTTGGGGCTGATCTCTGCCATGGGGGCCTCAAGCCCCCGAACTCGTCTGCAGTGCTTGCTCAGGTTTTGGGATTCTGGTGCAATGTGCTACTCTGTTCCCAGCGTGCCAAGAAAATAGATCTCAAAATCTGTTCAAAAGCCTCGTTAGACACCGCACAGTTCACGACGGCTTGGCGCCTTACCTTTGCTCTTCCAGTTCCTGTCTGTCGCGTACCCCAGGTGCCCGGCGTATTTCCTGTTGAACTCCGCCATCAGTGACTTGTATGGGTTTCTTATTAACAAGATCGCCGAGTCGAACATTTCGATCTCTGTCTTGCCGCTTTCATGTGTTTTCACGCAGATGGTCCTTCTACTTCTCCAGTGGTCTTTTTCTCCTTTAAAACCTGTTTCATAAGGACAGGATTGTTGGGTTTTTCACTTATATTGATGTCTGTGCCTCTCACATTGTAAAACATGGTGTAAAATGTTGTGAGAACACCAAATTCGTCATCTAGGACCTGGGGCTAGAGCTGGATTTTAGTCTTGGCCTTGCCAAGACCACCTACAAGGCCTATTCGTTTCATTTGGTTTGGGATCATCTTTTTGTGTGTTCCTCTTTGCCTGCCATAACAAGGACTTTGTCTCTGGCTGAAGCCCGCAGCTACTTACTGCGCTTTGAGTGGTGATGTACGCTGGAAGCCGGGCTTTCCTCCTGCGTCGGGCAGTTAGCTGCAGAGGAGCTCTGCCCTTTGCAAGGTTGGTGCTTGGTGCTGGCTAAATGTCATGCCCCTGTGGGATACTGGCCTCTCTGAATAAGCGGTGACACTTAAACTTATCCCGATCTTTCATGTGCTACTGAAAAGTCCTGCTCTTGAGGTTTAGCCAACTTTGTCTTTTGGGCCATTTGTTTACATGGGGAGCTGCATGTGCACACCTTGATGTGCACACCAAGACCAATGCACGTGACTTTCCAATTTTGTGAAGTGTGTGTGTTTGGCTTTTGTGAAAGCATCTACCTGTCAGGTTTAGTACACTGTTCAAGCAGGCTCTGCTGTCTCCACCATGTGAGACCACCTGTTCCAAACACATTCAGATTTGCTCAGATAGGATGACAGTGACAGCCTTTTTCATTCCAAAGAGAAGAATGTCAGGGCAGGAGAACAGTTGTGCCTCCAAAACGCTTTGTTTTTCCCATCTCCCTGGCAACGGTACCTTTGTTGTACAGGGTTCCATCGAAGTAATAGCTGCCTGTGTAGTATCCTGTGGCATGTTCTATTAAATGGCGAGCCCATGTATTCCCAGCCCCAGGAAAACTGGACAAAGCAACAAACACTTTGGATTTCGTGGTTAAGAACTTCCTATCTGTGCAGCGAGTGTCTGTAGAGTACAGAAGATATTTCATTGTTAGTGTTGTGGCTTTTTAATTCTACTGGCAGCTCTTGATTACAGGGTTTATTGCTGCTTTTTTGTATTTTTATTGATAAAAGTATCAATTTGAGTCCAGTTGCGAGTCAGCTACTTCCCAAATTAATTCAGCCATAAGAGGCCAAAGAGATTATCCTCCGAAGAGGTTTTCACTGGTTTTGTGTTAGGATGTGCTTTATTGTTAGAACTGTGGCAAACTATTGTACTTGCCAGCAAGTGCCGATAAAAGGCCCTTGATGCCTGTTTAACTGCTATTTGCCTAGCAGGCTAACTCTTCAGTGAAAGCCTGAATGTGCCATTATACCTGTAAATTGAGAGTTTTGTAAGGCGGGAGAAACTCCTCCTACTGAAATGAGTTTGAGTTCAGTTAAACCTTTCAGGCTGTGATTTTTCTCAAAAGGGCCTAATGCAGTTAAAACCCAGGTCACGTTAATCTTCAATAGGGACTAGACACCTGACTTCCAAACATGCTTTTGAAAAATCCTATCCTTATTTCTCTGGGTGCCATCAAAAGCAAATGTAGTAAGAAATAGCCAGAGTTCTTCCTGCAGGCTCAGTGCCAGCGGAGCTGAAATGCACATGCGCAGGTGGGATGGTGGCTGATGAATGGGACCGGGAACCACAATATGGGGAACCTTATTCCCGACTGCCACGGGGGTGCTGCGTGGCTCGGGGTATGCTCTCCCAGCCTGTGCCTTGTTTTCTGCATCTGCAAAATAATTAACTTTTCCTACTGGGTGATCTGTGCTACTTAATGAAAGGATATTTGGAAAAATGCCTTGAAAAATACACGTTTATGACTGCAAGGGGAGGATTAAGATAAGGGGCGTATTCCGGATTCCTACCCGTGGGTCAGAGCAATTGTTGTGGCTAAGGCCTGCTGTGAGCTAGAGGAGTTCTGCCCGCCGCAGCGGGCTCCGGCCCCCGGGCTAGGGAAGCTGCAGCCGTACCTTGCCCCGGCGTTGTGCAGCCGGTGGCAGCGTGGCCCCTCCGCCTCGTCGTGCAGTGTGAAGCGCTTCGTGGGGTAGCCGCAGTAGCACTCCGTCCCTCGGATGACTGCCAGGGGAAACTCCTGCGAAAGGAGAGGTGGGTCAGTACGTAAATGCCACCGCAGCAACGGGCTTCAGGAGAGCCTTCTGCTACACAAAGAAAAATTGATCTTCACAAGGCCGCTGTCGGGATCAAAGCAGCGTTTGATATTTCATTGTAAAACTCATGTTTCGTGTACTATCACTGACTTTTTTATAAGGCAATTTTTAAAATGTTTTTTTGACAACAAGCTTGTCAAGCTTGAAAATTCAGACTACTCTTTATTTATTACAAGTAAGTTGATAATAGTCCTCCAGCAGTTAGTGTGTAACTTCACCCTACATCTTCAGTGAAGGAATAGTTCTTATTTACCCCCCAAATCAGCATTTTGAATCAGATGCTCTCTTTTAAGTCGCCATTTTTAGCCTGCCAAATTGAGGACTTGGCTGGCAAAAGGTTTGACTCATTCGGTTGACTTCACTGGAGTTTGTGAAGAAAACCTGCCCTTAAACTTAATGCTTTAAGGGTAAAATGGGAATTCATACCCACTAACTGCTGCATCTCTTTAAGAAAAGGTCAAACCCTTTAAAAAAAAAAAAATTATGTATCATAGTATGACTTGTTCACTTATTGGGAAAAGTGAATGTGAGAGCTACTGCAAATATTTTTGGGAAGATCGTTTAAGAACAGGATACCAAATACTCTTTACAGCCTTTGTTCAGAGGGACTGCGCTGACAGCAGTGCGTGGGTCTGCGCAAGGAAGTGCAGGGGCAGTGGGAAGCTGCAGTGCCCTGAAACCATCCCATGAACCATGAACGTTTCTGGCTAGAAGGAATTTTTTCAATGCATCTGAGATGTCACTAAACTTTTGTTAGAGCCATCAGACTTGGCACACGGAACAGGCTGCGAAGCAGTATTGCTGCTGTATCGTGAAAGAAAGCTGCGCGGTGGGAGCAGGGCCAGAAGCAGGTTGTAAGATCTGAAGGAGAGAAGAGGTCTTCGTCCCCAAAGAAACCCTGTGTGGTACATTGAAGAAATAAATGGTCTCTGGTACTGAAGGACTGGTAATAGGGAATAAATCCATGGAGGTCAACTTAGAGCAGTATGAGGAAAAACACAAGGTCCTGTACATAGGCATCTCTCTCCACCCAGGTGTGTAGCCACCTGCCCAGATTAAGCTAAGGTTGATAATGAAGAGAAATTTTAGAAGGAGATGCGTGCTAATTATTTGCTGAAGAAATATGCAATTGCTTATGTGCTTAGTAGGAAAAGTACACTTACTACTTGGCTAAAATTGACCCTAAAATTCAATCCTTCTCCTCTTACTGGGAAGACTGGGCTTGTTTTTTCTTGGGTTTCCAAGACGTCCCTGATGACTAGCTCAGAGAAGTGCGTGTGCGTTGACATCCAGGGGACCGGCTCACCTTCAATGACAAAATGGCTGAAGGAAGCTCAGGGGGTTATTTGAGCACAGAGCACTGAATTCTGCCTATTCCATATCAACACTTTTTGCCTTTTAAAAATCTTCTGGAGTCTAGAACTGCGTGACAAAACTGCTGAGCAGCTTATCTCTCGCTCTTCCCCACGTGCTTATCCTCTGATAAGGAGTCAAATACAACACGTGTGCCATCTGTGCCCAAACAGCCAACGTTTGCTTAGTGAATGAGATATGACATTGTCAAAAACTATTTACAGATTTGATCCAAGGGCAAAATATTTCCATTTCTGCCTGCAAATAGAAGTTTTCCCCTTACAATGAAGCAATGTTTTTCCATTTGAGAAATTAATAAATGTCCTGGCCCTCAAGCAGCCTAGAGTGAAAATATACCAATCTTGTGCCATTTGGCGTCTGTATTTTGGGAGGTTGGAGATTTTATGAAGAGACCTAAGCAAATACTTCTCCATACCTCTGCACCTTTGTTTGATCACTTTCATGAAGGCAAAATGAGTATTAGAAGGTATAATACTGTGTTGCAACCACTCTGCATCACTACATGTGACTAATCAGTGTTTGATGCTTCTGCAAGGCAGGGGAGTTGGACTGACTCCCTCACTTATACAGCTTTCCCAGTGGTCAGGTGACGTTTTGAGAGCTATCTCTTGTTGTTTTTCCAGTGTGTGTGTGTGTGTGTGTCTGGGTCTTTTGGGTTTTTTGGTGGGGGTGGGGAGCAGCATGTTTCAGTGCCTTTCCCAGCCTTTTCTTCAACAATGCTTTGGTTTTGGGCTATCAAACAGTGGAATTAACCTTTATCTGAACACTGTCCCTGCTATGTCCAGCATAGGCTAGTGAAAATCCTACCTCCGCTATGTCTCTTCTAATAAGCACCTAACTGGAAAGTGTTGTAATCCTACTGGTACACTGTGTATAAAACCTCTAGCAAATAATTTTTCCTGGAATGGGGAAAGAAAAACATGGATAGAGGCTACTCACATTCTTGATCTAAATCGACCTTCAGGAAGAATAATCAAAAAGGATGGGGAAAAAAAGGGAGGGGAGAAGAGCTGACATCTGGCTGCAGTTCCCAAGGGTGAAGGGATGTCTTTACAAACATAAATTAGTCAAGAGGGAATGCCCGTATTTGCCTCCATGTTGCTTATCTGTGATGCTAAAGGAATTGGCTGTATTACAGATGGTGGGAGATGTTTCCTTTATCTTTTACTACTTGGGGATGGTATCCCAAATAGTTGGTGGGCCTAACGCAATCTTGTACCTAACGTGATATTCAATGTTTCTTTGTGGCTAAAAAAAATTTTGGGGGGGGGGGGGGTGTTTATGCACCCTAATGTAGATTTAATGTAGGTAATGTGACCCTAACACACAGAACGTAGATGTTGGCAAAACTTATTTCCGGTAAACCAGAGGATGGACTTTGCTCACTCCCTTTCCTGTTTTGGAGTTGTGAGCCTCTGAGTCCCCCTAAAAATCCAAAAATCATTGTGATGGATGGGGACAAATCATGCCTTTACCCCATTTCAGGAAATGTTTCTTCTAGCAACGTAAAATGACACTTCTTTGCTCAGGCCTGAACAATGTTTAGTTAGTAATTTAGACTTAGTACACCCAGTGCCTTTTTCATGTCAAATCCTTGCACGTTTGCCAATTGCAAACAGAAACCAAGATAACAAGAATTGCCTCTTTCACCTCCTCCTCCTCTATTGCTTCAGTGCCACTGACTTTAATATGATGGCAATTTTCAAATCAAAGGAAGAAGATCTTGCCTTCAACTGCTTGAAGTATTTTGTTTCATCAAGTATATTAAACTGTCAAATCTCTGTACATTTGCAAAATGACTGGAGAAATTCAGATAATAATGTTGCTTTATTTACAACATTAAGGTTTCGGCAACATGACTTGATCCTGGAAATGCAGAGTGTTTTTCAATTCTGTAGGGGTTGTCTAAGAGTTTATTTTCATAAAAAATATATATGTGCTTTCTTTTCTGGCTTCAACATGTGTTTGGAGAAAGGCAGGGGGAAGGGGAGCTGGCTTCATGAATGAAATGTTTTCAGTGAGTTTGCTGTGATCACTGAAGAAGCACGACAATAGTTCTGGGAAGTGCACCCGGATCCCAAGTGTCAGGGCAAAGCGCTATAATCAGCCAACTGATTATTCGGATTGCATGCCTATCTGATGCAGCACATGGAGTGATTGCAAAATAATATATTCAGCCTTGTCTCCCCATCAGTACTTAATCAGCAACTACAATCCATCTGCTTTCACTCACCTTGTGTATTTACATAAGTCCCAAGTGATGGTTACTGCTTTAAGCAACTACATAATTTTTAAGTGCAGGACTAGTCCATCTCAAGTTCAACAGATACAAATCTGCACTTCAGTTAAACATGACAGTTCAAAAGCTGTAAGGAAAGTAATCATTCTCCAGGAGCAACACAGATGATGTGATGGTTCAATCACTGTTTTTATTAGATTATATTCAAATGATGAATTCCCAATAGATTAAAAACACACTTAACTAGATCTACTCTCAGGACTCTGCTAAATTCCTTTCCTTTCCTGCTTTGTTAGCTACCTCTCCTGTCTAAGACACAGCTAAAATTTTCTCCCAAAGTGCCCCAAAAAAAAAGACAGTGAGGGACTAACCATGGAAGGAAATGTCTTTCTCAAGTGAAAATGATGCGTTTGGTTCATTTAAAAATGGACACAGTCACTTTGCAAGAAACCTAGATGTTATTCATCAAGTTTCCATTGACACGGATGTTCTAAGAGCGAAGAATAAATACTGTGAAGTCAATCACCGCTTGAATAAAAATGCTGGCTTGTTCTACATTGCTATATGTTAAGGAAAGGGGGCAATTCTTTGATGTGCTGTTATACCCGTTGTGACCCTGATCCTGAATTAATCCTCTCTCACTGCTCGAGTAAAGTCAGTGGGCCTGTGGTTATTTGCATCAGTTGAGGATATGGCCTAGTTATGTTAGTTTTATTGTGTCAAAATAAATTCTAACTGAAGCCCAGGGAAATACTCTCATATTTTTACAACAGGATTTGGATCAAAATGCTAACAGTCTTTCATTTATGAGTAAATAATAGAACATAGCTGCCTCCAGAATCCAAAATGACAGGTCTACTTCTGAAGTTGAGAGTTTGGCATATTCTTGAAGAAACACCTTAGAACTGGTCATGCCCAAGCTTGCAAACTTGCTGGGGGGGAGGGGGGGTTGTTTTGTTTTTTAATGGATTGAGATGCTGGGGTTCTCTGCTCAAGATTTAGTATTGTTTCAGGTTTTATTACATATGAATACGTAGCATAGCTGACTGCTAAAAGGCCTCATTATTTAAAAACATAATTCAAATGGAGATGGCTCATCTGGTATTCAGGTTGGCTTATAAAAGAGCATATATGAAAACTATGGCTTCTGGCCAAGGGACCTGGCACAGAAACACTTTCCTAGCTCTTTGCTATTAAGCCATGTCATCACTGTGTTAATTACGAAAGAAACTGATAATTAAGAGTATTTAGCAGGTTTCATCTAAAGTTGTTACCTCAAATTCATTCCTCCGATACTTCCAAGCTACCATTGCAGTTGCATAAAGCAGTTTACAAGGCTAACAAATAAATATGGTATTCTCAAATTGTTTTTCTTCCGAGTCCCAATGGGCAAAAGATTTATTTGTGTGTTTAAGTAGCCAACTAGTCCCATTAAAAACCCACTAGCTTATCCAGAATGTATAGAAGTTGGTGAGATAATTCTTTTACTCGTCGAAGGCTGTACTAAAATGACAAGGCTCTCCTGATTTCAGGAAAATTAAGAAGGTTCATATCATTTGGAAGCTGGGCATCATCTTTTGGAAGGAAAAGAACCAAAGCCAGGACAAATGTTTATAATATACTAAAACAAGTTATAATATCACATAGAATTAAAGCTCAGACTGATTGTTTGTGTTCCAGCCCTGGTATGCTAGAGTTGCTGGTAGTTTGTGTACATTGTAATATTTTCTCCTTTTCTGGTTTCATCCTCATTTATTATAGCATAAATCACAGAGATGAATGGAGTTGCTTTTACAGGAGATGATCTGAATGAGACTGAAACCAGGCTGTTTGATCTTAATAGATTTTTCTATTTCAACCTGACTATTTGTAGAGAGCACACACCAAAAACAAACTATGAAATAAAAATTCGACCTTTTCCTCAAAGCACTTGCAATCTAAGTTGCACAGGCTTCACTGAAATATTCTAACACAGATTTCACAAGTTCTTCCTTCCTGCATCTTTCATCCATAACTTAAAAATGCTAAGCCTCTAAGTCTGTGCCAACTGAGGCATGCGGAAAATCCCATTGCCAACGCAGAAACATTACGGAAAAAAGGAAAGGCCAGCTTGGAAAAGGTGAAGTTGTAAGAAAAGGTGCAACTCTGCTATTTATGGTGTTGTGTAGCATTTTGCTTGGAGAAAAAAGTGGTATTACTGTATACAAGAACTGACTACTGTAGTAGTCCAAGTGGCGTGTAATAACTGGAATGGTGGATGTGCAATTGCTGCTCCTCAAACGGAGGAAGATCTTGCCAGCCTTTCTGCAGGCAAATGTTCTATAACAGTCATTTTCTAAAGGGGGAGATTGGTGCCTAGCAGAGCTAAAAGGGGAGAGAAGGGGTAAGTAGTTGTTAACCTGCGCGATTTTAGAGAAAGAATAAATGAGGGAGGTAGTAAACCTTTTCTTCAGCTTCCTTTAGTACTTAGTCGTGGCAGATAGACTCTGGTGCATGAAGGGCAGACCACATCTCTACGGCAGTTACCAAAGCAGGAAGGCAGATGAGATTCTCCGAGCTGGATGTACTGGGATAGAAGTATTTCCACCCCTAAGGAGTAGCCTGTGCTTTCAGAGACAGATCTGGGCATGGTCCCTGCTAGTAGCAGGGGATGCTCTGTGCTAGGAACTAACCCATCAGTTACGGATCTTTCCCTGATCTTCTGATGAAGTCCTGCTTTTACTGTACATTTATGCGCATGGAGGATGAGTGTGTGTTTGTATGCCTGTTTGTAATGTACTATGTACAGGGTGGTACATAGGTAGGATGCACACCAGGCAATTCACTGCACAGAGTTAATCCATGATGCATTCTCCAGATGTACTACTGATGAGCTGGTATAAAGGATATGTTGACTGGGAAAGGCCTTCCCAACCAGCATCACAGAACTACTAAAATTACTCTATCTAGTAATTAAGATGATTTGTTGTTCATGACTTAATAGTTAATCAATTTTGCGATGCTAGAAGACAAAGTGATTGAATGTTTGGCTTAGTGCATGAGACTGAACGTGGCTGCAGGCTAAAGCTGACCACAAAGTGAATCTTCTTCTGTACAAAAAATGAGCCCCCTCAGAGTAGGGAGGAAGGGAAGGGAACCCAACTATAGCAGCAGCTAATAGAGCAGACTGTGCACGGGGCCAAATGTTCCCTCCTTCTAGGCTGAGTCCATCAAGGTCAAACCGTCCTTCCAGTCTTGCATCCATGGTCTAACTCTGTGATAAATGGAGAGGTCGAAAGACAGTGCTACTTCAGAGCAAGAACCTGCACAGGGACAAGAGATGTTAGTGTGCCCATCCTTGCCCTTGGCCTAAAAGGCAATAAACACGCACACGAGCTTATTAGATGCTTTCTTGTGGCCTTATATGCTGGCACCAAGGAATTCTAAAATGATTCCATGTAAAATTCTCCTCCTGGGTTGGGTTACAGTGAAAGCAGAGTAAATTATCCTAGTGTGGAAAGATGCGCATTTGTATAGAAGTACCAGGAAAGCTCACCTGTTCTAAATAAGCTTAATTGCTAAAATTGTTCTCTTGCAGCTATTTTTTTTAATTAAAATTATATATTCCTAGCCTACATAGTTACACTGGTACGTGGGTCCCCACCAGGTGAGTGGGAAATAGCTCCCTTGAGGGTACTGAAGCCATGTTTAAGGAGGACAAATGCAACTACATGCCGAACCAGGCCCTGATTGGTAGGGCAACAAAGTCACACCTTTGATCAGCGTTGTTGCTTTGACTGTTTCAGACTTGATTTTTCTAAGGTCTTCATTTCTAAACTATAGCTATCATTGCAAATGGAGTATAAAACGTGCTCATCTTTTTCACATGTATTTATAGAGCGGCAACGTGGAGGCCCGGGTTCTTAGCGGATCTAGGTTTACGCCAGGATGGCCAACCAAGGGTGATGGTAGCGTTAAGGGCCGCTTGGCTTTGCGCTGCTTTACACCTGTGGCAATTGCAGTGGGGTCAGCACCAACGACGCTGGTGCAGCCGGGCTGGGAAACGGGGCACCACAGCAGGACTGCACTGCTGGCCGAGCCCCGCTCGCGGCAACGCGTCTTCAGTGTGAGCCCGTGACAGGGGAGACCTCCCTTGGGGGCAGCTTTAGCTCTGGGTTTGGTTTGAATGTGACAAGGAAATGGAATTGATTTTTCCCGTGGTCTATATTTGTCACTTAAAATGGTTTTTCTGTGCATCACATCTAGTGGCATAATTCTGATGACTTTCCTTCCCACCTTCCCCACTCGAGAGCAACTGGACCAGATACATCACTGGATATTTATTCTGACGAGTTTTGTCCTTCTGAAACTCATTTACAAATTCAAAGCTCTAAGGCACTAATCTTTGCTATTCCCTTAGTAGATTAAAATTTAAAAAAACAAAAAAGAAGAAAGGATGTGAAATGAGAACTGTTCTTACTTTCTTGGAGCAAAATTCAGAGCACATCTCCACCGTCAAATTGGGCTGTATCAAAGAGGCTGGAAAGGTGTCTGTTAAATTTGCTGGAGCTCTAAAACATCCTCGATAGATAACATTCCTCCCTGCAGGGATATGAAATAGGTTTCTCTTGAGAAAACAATGTCCATGGTATCCTACCACTATCACAAAGAACAATATTAGGTTCAGAAGCTAAAAAATACTAAAATAAACTTTATATTCCAAATGCTTTAGAAATAAGAGAAACCATGATATACACTAGAAAAATGTGTTGCAAATCCCATAGTATTGAAAGAAGCACATGCCTTTAGCTTTGTACTAACTACTGAAAGTAGGGCTGCAGCAAAGAGTTTAAATTAAATTCCACCAGTGGAGGACACTGCTATTGTTTGCAAGTCCCAGTTTTCTTTTGAGGACATACTTTCCCCTGAAAGGCTTAAAAGCCCCAATAAAAATCTGCAAAGCTTCCCGTGATCTGCACAAGAAAAGGAATGGAATTTAAATGAATTCAGAAAGCCCCTACAGGGACTCACCTTCCTGCACATCTGCTCAGTTACTGAGATATCCTTCTTCTCTTCCCATTCACTAGCTTTCTTTTCAGGGCAAGGGAGTTTGCTGCATCCTTCGAAATCTAAACGAGGCTTTTGTAAGTTGTTCTGGGAGAAAAGCTTTCTTAAAGTCTTGAGCATCAGCCTCTCATCTCATCTGCTCTTGTATAAATGCCACAAAGCTTGGCAGAGTTGCTCCATTTTTGCATCAGTGTGAGTGAGAGCAAGGTTTTGGGCCAAAACCTTGCTACTAATAGCAGTATAATTCTCCTTCCTGCTCCTGATAAAACCAAACTGCCTCCTGATAAACCCAAACAATACCCCCAAACTATCATGGAAACTTACTCCTAGGTGTAGCAACGGACTTGCATAAGTGAATTGATGATAATAAAGTAATATTGTGTGGCTAGATTAGAAAGAGAGAAGTCTATGTTGTACAGTACTTCTGAAAGCCCTAGAACTTTATGGGCTTTACAGTGGTGGAAAATGCCTTTGTCAATGGACAGTTGGATAAACAGACATGAAGTAATTTGCCTAACATCACTTAATAGGGAGAAACGTGCATTTGGGAATGAATTCGGGTCTTCTGAGTCTTGGTCCATAGCTCTATTCTTGAGGCACTTCTGGCCATCTTAAACAGTTTTCACTAGAATTAATGTGGGAAATGTGTTGAATGAACAGGAGAGATGTAGTGCGGTTTTGAAGGAAGATTTTTGGTTCTGCCTGAATTTCCTGTTAGAAGGGCCCAGATTCTTCATCACGAGCCAAAAGCAAATCTCAGAAGCTGCTTGCTTCCAAGGGTGCTTGAGGTTTATCCTTGGCCGTGGCTAGGGTGTATCTTCATCAGAATTTTGGCTCAGATGAGGGATATGCTTTAGAAGCGCGTCTCCCAATGATCCCTGGTCTCCATGCCTTTCTTTGCGTTGTGGCGCAGTCTCACACCATGGAAGCTGGGTTCCCTATGGTGAAACCGAAGCAGAGGTGCTTCAGGTGGTGTGCACCTCATGCACTCCACTTGCTAATGGGCATTCAGCCTATAGTGTTGGTCTAAAATAAAAACCTCAGAGCATGTATGGCATGGGTCTTGGTCCTCAGCACCACTCATTCTGCTCTCCAGCCCCACTCTGTGTGCCTTGCTAATGTAGCATAGCCTGAGATGCTGTATTTTTCCGTAAGAGAAAATAAAACTGTGTTAGTCTCTCTGATACTGTCTTTACAAAGTCTTTCATGTTAGGGCTGTTTTCTGTATCATAGCTTGTTCAGTCAAAAGTCTTCATAAGTTTAAAGCCATTTGATCATCTAGTTTGATGCCTCTCAGTAATAACAGACCAAAAATGTTACTTAGTAACTCCAGTACTCAGCCCGTAACTTGAATTCCTCTCAAGGGCGTCTTCCAGATAGGTGTGTGGCATTCATCTCAAGACCCTGAGACATGCAGAATCGATCCATACCGTGCAGTGTGTTCACCTGGTTAATCACTGCTGCAGTTTGTGTTCCATGTCGTCTTGTTTGAAATTTACCCTGTAGATTTCTGTCCCTGAAATGTCTTAATTCACCTGATGTCTTTTGTGGGCCACTTCCAGGATTGAGATAGTCAAATCTTCTTTTTGGCAGTCAACACACTTAAAACTAGCACAAGGCAACTACGTTTTTGGCATTTCCCTCTGCTAGCAGTCATCAGCCTGAGCCCTCTCCTCCTGCCCGCGCTGGCTACATTGCTGCTGTTTGCCACCGCTGCAGCCTGAAGCTTATTTCAGTCTGACTTCTGCCCTGGAGGAGCCTCTAAGCCTTCCTCCATGGTCAATGAAGGAAAATGGTCCCCATCAACATAATTAACAGGAGCTTTATTTCAGGTGCTTGACTTTGTTCTAGAAGAAGCCCTTCTTTCTGACTTCAGAGCATGCTCTGAAGAAACTAGCAACCTCAGGCTAACACCCGTCAGCTTCTGTTATACATGCACACGTTTACAGGACTCGATGAGAGATGTGTTATTTATCTCCCTTTTTAAAGACCATTTTCTTTTTTCATCATCCCTGAGATTTTTTTCAACGCCATCTGAGATTTGGGTGCCCAATTTCAATGAAAAACAAAGAGGAAAACTGCATATCCAAATGGCACTTAGAAGCTTTGAAATTCCCAAGCAAACTGGCCTCATTTTAATTCCTCCCAGAAGAGGATATAATGGGCTAGAGAAAGTGCAATCTTGAATACTCACTGAGAAGAAACAAACCATAAATAAGTTAGGCCCAGGTCACACGTGAAAGTGATTAAATTAGAAGAGACAGAAGGTTCACTTCTGCTCTGTACTCAGCTGTATAAACACCTTCCAGGAGAGCATTAAAGAAGAGTGATAATTTCCCCTGGGGAATTATGCATGAAACACAAGCATCTTGTTTGGGGAGGCTTTTTGGACATTTTCAAAATGAAAAATCAATGTATGTACATTCTTATTTAGAAGACAACAGTAGCATGGAGAGGGGAATTCCTTGCTTAATGTGTGCCAAATCAGACTCAAATTCATTGATGTCTTTGCCCAATTTTTTAAAAGAGGGGAAAAAAGGAATTTTCTAAAAGTGAATTATTTACTTTAAATATTTTGTCAAGACTTATTTCCATTCTTTTGTCCTATGTCTTTGTTCCTTGTCTGCCATTCTTTGTTTCTCTAGGGATTACTTGCAAGATTATCTGAAACTTAATAGAGGATTTAAACTGACTACATAGTGGAGTAAACCCTTAAAACAGTAATTAGAAGTAGCTGCTGTGTCTTTGGGATCACTCAGGAGATGTGAAAAATAAAATAACTTGATGCTAGTTGGGGGAAAGGAGTCTCCCTGGAATCAGATTGCTACAAGCACTGCACCAAAAAATAAAGGAACAGACGTTCTTCTGCTTCCCAGGATGCTCTTGAAAGACTTCCCGCTAAATCTCCCACTCATATTAAATTCCAGAAACAAAATTTTTATGAAAACATTTGGAGTTGTATTAAATACGGTAAGGAACAAAACTTGAGCAGCCCACATCAACGCTTAGAAGGGAGCAGGATTCCCATAAAACCCACAGATAATACTGGAAACATTTATATTGTTTCCCAATTTCCAGGGGAGCCTATGGCTGAATCCTGCCCCTAGGAACACCCTGCTCCACAGTGATCCCCAGCTGGAGGTAGCTCAGAGCTTGAGCCTCGAGCGTGACATGGGGCACGAGTCCCGCTGCGCGGGTGCTCGTGGTGCTGGGATGGGAAGCAGGGGACGGTGGGAGGGGAGCCGACAAACCCCGCTCCCATGGGGTTTCAATGGAGGTGCCATCTGAGCTGCACCTGTGCTCTTCTCTCTGCAAAACTTTAGCTAGCTCAACTGCTGAGGGCATGTTAGAGGCAAAATATTAATAAGACAAGGCAAATCTTTATGCCAGATCTGTTTTGTATATTATATATTGTAAATCATGGATTCCATTACAGTTTCAGAGTTACTTTCCAATATTGTTCATCTTGATTAATACTCTTCTTGGCCCCTCAGCTAGCTTGTTTCTGCATGATTCTTCAGGGAGTCAAATATCAGGTATTACTAAGGGCAAACAAAATACAAATCTGGTTCCAGGCCATCATTTGATGACTAATTTGTTAATACTTAAGAAAAAATAAACGTCGCCTTTTCCAGTGAAATATGTGTATATATATTTTTACAGTGAAGACTTAAACAGTCATGCATGTCCTGGGAAACCTGCCAATGTGCCTGTCAGCCTGACACTAGCAATTTAGGTCTGTGTACCTTTGATATATAATTTATGTGTAGCTGGGTGGATTATTGCACAGACTTTGACTTGTCTTTACAAAGAAATGAAATACCACCAGTACTGGTGGAACCTAAGGTCTTGGTGCTTGTGTTCAGCAAATAGTATCCGTAGGGTCTTGTGAGCTTGCCAAAAGTAAAGACTACTCAACTGTTTAGCTATTTGAAACCTTTGGGCCAACATAAAGCTTATATCTTTTGCATCTCCCATGATAGCTAATTGAATGACAAACACTATCTCACTTAGATACTGGTGTGCTTCTCTCCGGAGAATCTGTATATTCTCCTGCACAGTAGCACAGTATTCACTTTGTTTAGGATAACTCTAGAGCTTGGAATGGTATTGGTATGTATATTTTTCTGCCATTGTAGAGCACCCAATTTTTGAGTTGCTTCTCAAACGCATGGTTTTGCTCATTAGCAGCAAATGCAGAAGGGAATATTTTTTCTGATGAAATCCTGCTGACATTGCAATTGCTCTGCACTGTATTTTACTTGCTCCCCTGGGGATGCTAACTTTTTATGTAGCAAGCTGGAGGCAACCAGGTGGGACACCTCTCACTGCTCCGAGGTAGCAGGCAGGACTGCTGCTCCGGGGAGGGACCAGCTACCAGACCAGCAGCAAATGGACACTGTGCCCTTCGAGCACCTCTGTCCCTTGCTGTGCTAAACCAGTGAACAGTGGAGCGGGATGAGCAGTGGGAACAGCCCGTTTGCTTAGGCCATCTGTGATGTTACCCACCCGTGAGATAAACACCGCTCCCCAAGGAGAGGAGCAGTCTGCTCTCTCTGGCCACCCCTGCACTTACGTTGCTTTGCTCCAGCCCGTAGGTCCTCCACCCTGTAGACGGAAAGGCGGTTCACTCCTCCGCAGATGGAGCCCTTCTCCCCCTTGCACTCGCTGTTGCACTCCTCCGGCTTCGAGGCGGTGGTGGGCAGCTTGTTTCCGCAGTAGCATTCTGCTCCGTACTCTAAACCAGCGTAGGTGTAAGCTCTGCAGGGACGCGAAACAAAGCGGCTCAAGTACAGCCGTCCCTACTTGGGAATAAGCTTTTACCTGGCAAACTTAGGAACCTGTCCCTCGGGATAATCTGTACGCTGCTTCCTCCTCGCCGCTTCGGAAAGGCAGCCGGCCCTGGGCACCAGGCGGCCGCTTTCCGGGGCAGGGCGGCAGCGGGTGCTGCTCGGGCTTCGGCCCACTTAGCGTGTCAGAAGTGGCAGTGTCGCAGGGTGAGGTGACACCGTCTAAGCCCAAACCAACTACTTCAGGTTTTTATGAGAAATGTTTCAGACCATTTGGAGTGACAGAGAAGAAAAGTCCGTTTCAGAGGTTCCATTTGAAATAGGGCACTTTGGATCCGGTCATGCGGTTTTCAAATGCCCGAAACAAAGACTTGTCTGTTACTTGAATAGCAGATAAAATGCTCGCTGCGTCTCTCAAGGTATTTTAAGCTGCTTCCCAGCTACAACGCCCGCTTCAGTGAGCGGTTGCCTGCAGGTTACCGATAGCTCCTGGTCGGTGTGAAGTGAGGATCCAGTCTGGTCGGCACGGGGTGGTTACCAGACTCGGGCCTGCGGCAGCGGTCTGGCGTCCTGGCGCCCGCACGGGGAGCCTTTCGGGCCCTTCCCGAGGTGAAGCGTTCCCCTGGGTCTCCTTGTCGCGCCAAATGCAAGCGCGCACCACGTCCACCCAGGGCGCTCGAGAGCGCTTCAGGTGGGACTCGGAGCTGTGCTGGCCTGCGCCAAACCAGGGCCTGGCTTCAGAAAGTATCTAACAAGATTTGATGGTCTGTCAAGAGAGTGTCATTTTCTTCACCTAAAAGACGATCCGGTTCAGGGAGTCTTTTTGTGTGGTTATAGATGACTGAAGTGGACCTGGGAAATCTGAAAGTCGCCATGACAGGGTTAAACAGTAACTTAGGCGCCACTTAATGCAGTTGGCTCCACGCATACTGCATTGCTCTACAAAAAGAAGGGAAGTAAATTTCACAGGAATAACTCTGAATAGCTTCTTTTTTTTTTTTTTTCCTTTCCCTGCCCTCTCGCGTTTCAGAGCAGCAAGAAGTCTTTTGTATAAATAATGTAATGTAGGCCTGTCCCCGTTACTAATTATTACCCCCACCCTGCGTACTGCCTTAGCTAATCAGGTCAGTAGTGAGGTGGCAGAAACCACGCTGTGACTATTTCCCAGCGATCGCCGGTTCCCTGTGGCACGCTGGGAAACTGCCTCGCGCGCAACCATGCACTCAGTCGTCCTGTTCTCTCATTTCTGGGACCACTAGTGTGTTTATAGTTTGTGTTATATTTTAGGCCACAGATTTGGGCTAGAGAGCAATTTTTAACAGTCAAAGCAGTAATTTTTGACCAGAAAATATATTTGAACAGAAAATACATTGCAAGTAGTCGTGCTATAATAAAGATCTATGGATAGGCTGCAGTGAAAATAGACCATTTAAAGCAAGGTTGCAGAGACACTCCATCCCTGCAGGTATGAGATAATTGCGGTTTTCAGAGATGCTATCTCTTTTAACATATGCATGCTTTTTCTCCTTTTGAATCCAGTTCAGCTTGTTATCAGAAAAGAAAAAACTTGCAATGAAAAATATCACTTTACCTCTCAGCACAAGCTTCCTGGCAGTGAGATACTGTCATTTTTCTTAAGTCATAAAACACGGCTCCCTTCAATGTCCTCTCCCTGGAATCATCACTGAAGCATCCAATGTAGGTGCCTGTGAGCATGAAAGACCACAGAATTAGGCAATGCGCATAGGCTAAAGACAGGGAAAAAGAAAGACATTCCCATGACAGTTCAGTGCTGGGAACGGCGTGTGGAGCAATGACCTGCTGGGAGGCTGGGCTGGTCTGCAGGCCAGGCTGTTGGTGGTGCTGAACTCTCGTAGATGTTATTGAAGGAGTAAGCCCAAACGAGCAGTGGAGAGAAACGGGAAGGAGATCAGCCTTTTCCTCTATATAGACTGTTTTAGACAAGACTGCCTTTCTCCTTGGAGTCACTGTTGCTGTGGGCTGCGCTCTCTGCTCTTCTCCCTCCCCTGGTTCATATGGGCCAGGCCTGTTGTTCCCAGCCTGGTCACGATCCTGTTTGCACTCTGCTTTTCTATGTCATCCAGGCTTTTTATCCCTGAAAACACCTCCACATCACTGGGTCCTTCTCCCTCCAGCCACTGTCCTGGCTGTGGCAGGGGCTGGGAGCCAGCTGCTGCACCGGCATCCCTGCGTGCTCCTGGTGTCCCACGCGGGAGCCTCCGTGCTCTCCTAAACTAGCTAAATGCAGATGTAGTGCACGGGCACACTCCAGGCTGTAAGAGCTGGGAGGGGGGAAAAAGCATTGCAGTCTTCTAAGATAAAGGACGCGGTAGTCTTTAAACTAGTATAGACCTGGGAGAAATGCAAGAAGATTTCTCAAACTTTTCTTGAAAATGTCTAGTTGAGAATAAGATGGTGCAAGAGAAATATTTAAAAAAAAAATCTATTTCCTTTGAGTATGCAGAGTTATATTAAATGCTTATAACGGAAAGATAACTTCAGCCTTAACTAAGCAGCACTGTCTAGCTATCGCATTAAACGCTCTCTCCAGTGCAAATGAATCTCTTAAAATGTCTTGCTTTACTGAACATATGAAAGATAAATATTTCTGTTAGACTGCATCCTACATTAAGCCTCTTATTTTGTTGTCATGAACAAAATGCAATAAAACCTAGTCCGTATTTTTGTAATATATGATTGGAAGGATGACCTAGATTCCCATTATTATACAGCAAGTGTGTATATACAAGTACGTATTATTAAAATATGAAGGAAGAAAGGAAATTTGATTTTTGGAAGTAACAGTATTGAGATCACAATTTGTTAAAATTCAGATAGCATGAGCTGTGGACAGGAAGAGAATGTATGATGAGAAATGAAATTTTGAAAGAATTAACATGAAAAAAAAACTTCAAGCCACTCTAACAGATTTTAGAGCTAGGGAAATAAATCATATGAAAATAAAGTGTATGGGACCAAAGCCTCCAACTCTGGAGGCCAAGGAATACAAACTAACGCAAACTGTATCTGATTTCTTCCCCGCATCCCTTTCACGTTTCTGTGAGCCCTGTGTTAGATGTCTAGCAGTATCTCCTTCACATCCACTTATGAATGAACCCTTGGGAGACCCCACGGTTTTGGAACCAAATGTCGCGTCAGTGACAGTGGTCCGGTAGCTGTCATCTTTGAAATTCTGTGCAATGGCATAACCTGTCTAAGTGAAACAACATAAAATGTCCCATAGGCTGGTAGCATTCTTAACAGAAAAATTTCATTTGCTACCAAACAAATTGCTATCTGTATTTGTTGAACTAATAGTATTTTCCAGTCTCCCTGGCCAGAATAAGATGCGGTCTCTGCCCTGAACAACTTAAAAGTGCAAGTGGGCGCTAGAGTTGTCCAGAAAGAAAGAGAGATGAATTTCTTGCCCAAGGTCACTTTGTTCTGGGTGGACAGAGAGCAAGGCAAAGTGAACTTGGTGTTTACAATATGCAGCAGCAGGCACACATGCCAACGTATTTATTTTAGGTTAACAGTTGGCCCCAGGAAGCCCGTAGGGGATCAGGCCTGCAGGCTGCTTGAATGCTCAGACAGGTGTAGAGCGGACGTGTCGGCTGACTGCATCAGGAAGCCCACGCGTCATTAGAAGGATATTGATGAAGAACGCACAAAGAAGGCAATGTGCTGCTTTACTGAAAGGGAACCTCAGGGCAAAGCTGAATCTTTAACATGCATTATAACCACAGAGGATTTCATTATACCTTGGAAGGGATCCATAATGAAATAACAGCCTGCAAGCTTACTAGGAAAAGGGGGCGGTGGGGGGAGAGATAACATGTATTATATGGAGAGGTAATTTTAAATTGATAATAACTTCCAAAGACATTCTAATGCTTGTTAACAATATGGTTATTAATAATGATACTTCATTTTCAGTCAGATATTCAAATGATGCACATTTGAATCGGCATAATTCAGTGGGATGTAGCAATAAGTAGCCCCTTTGGCTCCTCCTCAGTCAGCAATTATAACCTGAGCATGGCACTAGATTAATGGTTGATATGGGCTTTAGCTTTAACTGATTTTTATGGATAACTTTCAAAATTAATCTGTCTGTTTTTAATTGAAGTTTTTAAGGTCATTCAGGAACTCTGTGGTAGAACAGGTTCATACTCTGCCAGGTATTAGAGTAGCACACAAACATTCACCATATTTTGTACTTGTTGTCTATTCTTTTGTTAATCGGGGAGGGAAAAAAAGCCCTAAAACGGAGGGGAACTAGAGCACCCCAAGCAGCTATAGTCAATGGAAATTCAAACTTACTGTCTTTATACAGTTTGGATTCAGGAGGAAACAAAGCCAGAAGAGCTTAGGGGCGCTTTCTGAGTTCAGCAAGCCAGGCTGATTTCAGAGGGTGCCTTGAAACCCACTGAGGCTACCTGGGCTGCCAGAACACGTGCAGCATGGAAGTACAAATCACGGGGCCTCTGGGGGAAGCGAGCAGAAGAGGACCTGTTTCAGGGAGGCCTCTCCTCCCTCATCCCCACGAATCAGCTCACGTGGAACAACGATCCTGACCGAGCAGCACCCTGGATGTGCCCCTCTGGGTTAAAACATCAACCCCTGCTGGGCCATCAAAAACAGGGCATGTGCTGCTTGCAAAAGAATGAAAAAGTAATCCTTTGGATATATTAAATACTGCTTTTATGAGGTGTACAGATAAAAAAGTGGCATCTTGTAGGGTTCAGGTGGTTCTTTTCTGCCCCCAGCTGTTTACTTACTAACGTTAGTCGCCACCTCCTTTAGTAAATTTATTTGCTGAAGTGAAGATGCATGTTCTGTTCTGTGGAGAGTGGGTTGCATGTGTAGTGTGGTCAGACAGGGCTCTTCCACAAAGCTTATTTCCACTCCTGTGTGCCAGGCTTTCGGTGTGCAGTTTCAGCTTGGTCACCAATGTGTGGCACAGAGCAGCTGTGACCACGTGTTTCATGCTAGTCCAGAAGCTACCGCTGGACCTTGAACACCCTGGTTTTGTGTGCAGGGCAAGTCACTGAAATGCATTTGGGTTCTCTGGGGAGCATCTGCACTTGGCAATCTCTGTTCTCTGCCACCAAAATCTGCTAGCTGTGGGATTTTGTGAAGTGCCTGGGGAGTAGTCTTGGAAGTCTCTGCTTGGTGCTTTAGATACTTCCAGCTGTTACAGTTTGCCTGACTCACGCTGTATGACTCATCTATCATACACCATCAATAACAACCTCTTGTTTCCACTTCCGAAAATTCATTCAGTAGGAGTAAATCGATGGAACCTTTTTTGTGGGATTTTTTTCAGAAGAGGCGCCTTTCTTTGGGTAACATTACTAAACTGCTCTTTATTTTGTTGAATAATGTGATGTCTAGCGGTTCAGATACCATTCCTTTACTTATTGCTAGTGAAACATCTCAAAGAGCAACCATTGCTTCTAACAAGCAATGGATCAAAGACAGCACTTGAACCTATCTTCTCACACATGCCCCTCAGTTACAATGAGTGCTTCATCTCAGATTGTTACGAAGGAAAGCTTTATGGCGTTATGCGATGACAATTTTTTTTTAGCCGTGAGGCACGATGATGGTGGCATGAGAAGTGTATGGGTGAGAGTTCATCCTGCTGTGGAGCCTTCTTCAGCGCTGCAGAGCAGTGCTGGTGGGGTGCTGTGGCCTTCGGTGACACCCAGCACCTTGTGAGGTGTCTGCTTCCCTCTGTGCCCACTCACACTTGGAAGGTGCCGCTTCCCTGCTGGAGACACTCGGCCCCCTCGAACGGGGTCTGCAGGGCGAGGGCTCTGACGCCCCGCTGCAGAGAGCGGCAAGGCTGCGTAATGCCCAGCACCATGGGTGTTGGGGCTCACGCGGCGCCCATCGTGGGCTTGGTTGGGGGGGGTGGCAGCCAGAGCTCTCCCAGGGTGATGCAGGTGGGTGGTGGGTCACAAGGGTATAAAGCCACACAGAAGTGTGAACATCTACAGACTCCTGTTCTGCTTCTTTACTTGCCCTGGATACTAGTTTCTCTAAAGCTTTCCTGCTG